ATATAAGAAGAGTATACATAAAGAAGAGTAATAGTTTTCATACATCACAAGCATTGGGTAACCTCTTAGCTAATGATTCTTGGCAAGATCATAATTGTTAAGAGTCACACACAACCACTTTACTTGCCGACTGTCGATGTAGTTTCCGAGACAGGAGAAGAAAAACAGACACGATATCTACTGTCCGGCAACATTTACGGATGCTTCTATATAAGACTGGCTGCCCCTGAAAAATTCACTGAACCCATTAGACAGTTTCATAATAGAACGATAGCAAAAGCGATGCAAATATTTCCTGTGCATTTCCAGTAACAAATGGTATAAAACAAAGCTGTGTCCTCATACCCACACTATTTAGTGTCTTGTTTCCATGCTGTTAGTTGGTTATTACTATTATATCAAAATATTATTTTTAATATTACTATTAGTTGACTATTAGTTATTGGTTAGTCAGAGCATTGCCATGTTGCCTGCAGAAAAGCATGACATATTTCTGAACCCATGTCTGACTACACTGCATGTGGTGTCTTGACACTTCTGCCTAAACTCATCTGTAAAATTGGGAACAACTACCTCATGGTGGTGTTTGAGAACGTTAATGTCTGTCCAAAAATTTCAACATGAAACTTGCCAAGTATTGTCGTTAGTGTCAATGTTCGTTAGCACCAGTTGTTTTGTTAGCATCAATCTTGCAATGATTAATCACGCAAATAGTTCTTACACAGGTTAGAAGGCCCCTTGAAGCTACTGGGCTACCTCTTCTACACTTGAAGTAATGCAGGACGTCAGTGGAATTACTCAAGTTTCTAAATCCAAGTTGAGCTATGATTTACATGTGTTACTTCAGATTACTTGCATGAGTAAGGATCACAGAATTTGGTTCCATTATTTTTCTTGGTGGTGTGGTGGACTTTGCTAATTCTGCATAATTAAGAGGCCAACAAAGATCAAAGTTAGCTCAATATGCGAAACATCAGTCATTATTAAGGACTAGATTCTCATGGTCCTTAGCAAGCTTGAGTAGGACTTAACTGAGTGCTTCTCTTGGGACTTCATGAAGAGAAATGTACTGCTCACCACAAGTAAGAGTAGCAAAATCTGGCCTTAACTCAGCCAGGTTTTCATTTATTGTTTGTTTAAAAGTGTTAGTACCAGAGCTAGGCATTAAGGCTATTATTTTCCTATCTAGTTCATATTCTTTTGTCTACTCATATATTTTAACTTCTACTAATCAGGGAACATAAACAGGACTATTGGCTGAATAATTGATCATTCTTTTGTCAATGCTGTGTCTTTCTTACCACTGGCAGGCTGTCCAGGGAACCGGACTGGCATTTATAGTTTATTCGGAAGCAATTAAGAACATGGAGGTGTCTCAGCTGTATTCAGTGCTGTATTTTTTTATGCTTCTGATGCTGGGCATTGGCAGCATGCTGGGAAACACTGCAGCTATCCTCACTCCTTTGACTGATAGCAAGTTCCTTTCCACCCACTTACCCAAAGAAGTCATTTCAGGTAAGATGCCTCCACATTCCAAAATATGCCTGTAGACAGTCAGATAAGGTTCTTTGGGTGAATCTGATATCTTTTATTAAACCAAATTAAATATTTAATTGGAAAAAAATTCTTAGCAAGCTTTTGGGTTTAAAAACCCTTAGTCAGGTGGAGGAAGCATTTGCAGTTGGTGTGTGCTCTTCCTGGATGGAACAAAGTGTTTCTACCCACACAGAGTAGAAGCTTAGGCTGGGTAAGAGTTGAATACATAATCACAGAGATGTGGAAGCCCACAGCACAAAGTTCTGAGTGAACATGACTTCCATGGACACAGAGGAATGGAAGGCATTCAGCCTCTTGCAAGCTCAGGCACTGAAAGGCTGAGAGAATCCATCCCCACATCTCTGTCCATTACATGAGGTACAGCTTCCGAAATGCATGTTTCACATGCTGGTGCAGTTCTTGCTTACTTTCCAGAATGGTGCTTGAAGTTTCTCAAAAATTGTTAGAAGTCGTAACTCATAAAATATGTTCTCTTAAGTCTTGTATTGCTTTTGAAAACAGCAGTAATGCTGTGCTCTTAAACAGTACTTGTCAACAATAGATCTTTAAGCCCTGCAGAGATCATCATGTTTCATGCAGAGATTCATGACATATGGAGGCAGACTGATCAATACGATTAGTAGAATGAACTTCAAACTGATTTGCCTAAGCCAGGGGTTCACAACCTGGTTAGATTCAAGGTACCCCTCAGAAAATGCCAACTCTTAGCTTTCACTTATTTTTCTGTAGCCAAAAAAGAAAAAAAATTTGCCTGTTGCCAAGAACCCCAGAAAGACCACAACACATCAGAATTATTTTTGATACTATGGATTATTTTGTAAATCACATATAGGCTTTTGCATGCTTAAGTGCTAATATCGTGCAGCACCCTAAAGAAAGGTGTCTCACGGCATCCTAGTGAGAGTTATTAGCTCAAGCATGCAGAAGTCTCTATTTATTTGAATTTCTCTGATCTTATTATTGGCTTAGAAATTTTCTAGCATTGAAGTTATGCTGCTGCTTGGAAAAAAAATCGCAAGAGGCTTCCATCAAAAATGTGATCTAAGCTTTTGGAACCTCAGCACATATTTTGATCAAGTTTTCCCTCGTAAATAATCCATTTATATTTGGAATTCCTAAGCTATTTCAAAGGCAGAGCAGAACCTACCATAGCAATTCAAAGACTTTTTGTTCTCATCATTTCAGAGAACAAAGGCCAGGGGGGCAGGTATATGCTTGATTAAATAATGTACTGATGCTTTTATATGCATTTACAAAAATGACCCATAGTCAGTATGCTTCGCTCACAACCCAGCATTGGTCAGCATTGACCATTGTGAGCAGAAGAATGAGAGTATCTTTTGAAAGGAAATAATTTAATATAAAGCTTAATATTGTCCCTATCCAGTAGCAGCCACACCACACCTTCATGGTTGTAACAGGAAATACAGATAGCTATTAAATAATAATTTTAAAAAACCCTATACTCCCATACTTCCTCACAGGGATCCTACAAAGTCTGTATCCAGTGATGTTTGTCAAGTGCCCTGAACTTTTAGCTATGGAAGTCCAAAGTCACATCACATTTGTTGAAACAAAGATACAGTGTCTGAAATTAAAATTGGAAACAAGCAATGAGAAACATAGCTAATTCAAACTACCTCCAGCCTCTCCAGTTATTGCTATAATGAGTGCCCTGAATATTTACCATTACTCACTATATCCAATTTTAGTGCATTATATATGTATGCATCCATGTTTGAAAAATTGTTTCACGTGCATGCGTACACACACGTGCGCATGTGGGTGTGCGAAGCAAAGCAATAATTCTCCAAACGTGGACATACCTGGTTGGCAAGATGGTTTTCAATGTTTCATGATGCAAGTTACATACAGCAACAATTTAGTGCAAACCTCTCCAGAGTGAAGTCCCTAATCTGGATATTTATTTTCAGTCAAAGGTATCTGGCATTGATACAACTGGATCCCTTAACAGAACCATTGCTTACCATTAAAACCAGGCTGGCTCCCAGAATCTGTTATTCAGTATAAATCTTCTGATACCACCCCTAACATTAACCTTTTGGTTATGATTAAAATAGTTTGTTTTGTTCCTATAGGTATTGTGTGTTTTATCAACTGTATTGTTGGCTTGACATTCACCATGAAAGCTGGGAACTACTGGTTTGACATATTCAATGACTATGCAGCTACCCTCTCTCTGCTGCTCATTGTGCTGGTGGAAACTATTGCTGTTTGCTATGTTTATGGGCTAAGAAGGTAAGAGCTCAGGCTCCTGTTTCTTTTAACAGTTACTGTGCAGGCAGGGACAGTGGGGACATACTTCTACACCAGGGTAGCTGCCCCAGGATGGGGGGGGCGGGGGGAATTCTTTCAGATTTCAAGGCTAAGCTGCCCTTTCAGCCTGTTAAGGCAAGGAAGGATGACATTGGTATAACTGGCTGCTGTGGCACCTCCTTGGCAAGTCTCCCCTTGTCCCCATAAGCCGTAGGGGTGAGGCAGCATTTGTTGCTAGGAAAGGAGGTAAGTCTAGGGGGAAAGAGACCATTTTGTTGTCTCCTTCACAGAAGTGTAACTGAGCTACAGTAGCTCCCAAGTGGCCTTGGCAACTCTCAGATGTATTAGACTTTGAGACTCGAACCTGATGAGTCCATTAGCAAGGCCCACCCCAACAGATACTCTTATAATGGAAAACCTTTTAAGGAAAGCCTCCTCAATGTTCCTACTTCCTATTCAGGGTTTTCCTTCAAATCAGGGACAAAATCTTAAGTTGCTGCCTTCAGTAGCATGATTTTGAGGCCTGTTTAAGTGAACAGCACTTGCTGTTTAAATGAACAGCCTGGCTAACTCATTCCCTATTTGCTCTGCCTCCTGTGTCTAAATTCCTCTACTACACCAAATGGTTCAATACAGAATGATCAAAACAATGCCCGAGTGAGCACACGCACAAGCGAGAAGGATCATAACTGAAAAAAGTTCCTAACTGCAAAGAAAAGTGCTGTGCTGTATTGCACAGGCCAAACACATTCGTTCTAATAAGCGCATGGGCCAACAAGGCACGTTTCAAGCACAAGTACATGCACCTGCAGTCAATGTGCTGTTCTTTATATTCTCAATGAAGCACATTTTTAAAGCAAATTAACCCATGGAAAATAAGTAGAAATGCAATATTTACTCCATGCAGTTCATATCCATTTCATCACTTTACAAAATGTGGTATGTCTTAGCATGTCCACAGCTTCTCAAAAGCAACCCTGGACTATTGTACCATACTAGAAGCATATTTTTTCATATGCTTAAAGTTTTCTGCCTCTATTGGGTACAAAAGCATGTCTCTTACAGCTGTAATTGAACACTGACTTTCTGACCTATTCATGAAACTTTCCGCACTTGTTTAAAGCAGAGTTGTCAGTTTTCACCCCGATGCTATTGTATTGTTCCTTGATGTGAACTGCTTCTGCCAAGTGCACACTAAATGCCTCTTGATCTTACTATATGATCCTGGTGAGCCAATTTCTCTGCAGTTAGGCATGGTTCCAGCTCATTTCTGGCCTGGCCATATATATTTTTCTTTACTCAGACTATCTTGCAGGGTTTTATTCTTTGTAACTGTTTATAACACAGTATTTTTATCTACTTAGGCTGGACTTGTGAACAGGGTTTGCCTGTTTTAATTCCTATTCTTTCAAAATATACTTTTTCCTAACAGGGGCCCTTAGCTCTCCTCAGTTATTGCCATCTCCTGATCCTGTGCAGAAAATAAATAGGGTACTATATGAAAAAAATCTAACAGGAGAGATCAAAATCTCTTTCAACAGATTTGAAGAAGACCTTCATCTGATGATTGGACACAAACCAAGTTGGTACTGGAAAATCATGTGGGCTTTTGCCAGCCCATTGCTAATTATCAGCCTGTTTATATTTTACATCACTGACTACATCCTCACAGGAACACTGCAGTACCAAGCCTGGGATGCCACACAGGTATTTCTTTTTCTTTTTTACTGACCCGTGTCCCTTCCTGGTTCCAACATGGGGTCTTCTCTGTTCTTCTGAGGGCTGGAGATCAAAATGCCTTGCTGAAAATCTGCGCAGCAGGTTTGAATCCAGAATGAATGCAGAAATACAGTTTCAAAGTGAAAAGAATCTTCCTTTTGTTCAAGTCAAAGGCTTTCATAAGCATTAAGGTTTCCCAATAATTAAAAATTATGCCACAAGAGCCATACCAAGTATTTCCACATAACCACAAAGAGCTTTGTTTCTTTTTGCCATCTTCTAACTAGTGACAATGGGCAAAGTAAATAAAGAAAACAGCTTGCAGACAAACTTCAGTAACTCACAGAATGCCAACTGTGTATTGCAAGCTTTCTACAACCTAATTTCCCTTAGCAAAACCACGCATGAGTTTAAAACTGCCATCCATCAAAATTAAAGAGCCAACACTTCAGGTAGTAACTAAGACTCATTTTTTACAGGCTAGAAAAAGGAATGGCTACATAATTGCTTTGTGCTAAAATTTTGTCTCTTCCTTGCAGGGTCAACTGGTTACAAAAGATTATCCCAGCTACGCTCTGGCAGTTATTGGACTGCTGGTGGCTTCATCCACAATGTGCATACCACTAGGTGCACTTGCAATTTTTATCAAAAGGAGACTGAAGAGGGAACACAGATCAACTGTTGCATGAACATTTAAAACTGGTTTGGTAAAAGGTTTACTACCAGATACAAAAACTGTGCACTTTCTGGAGACCCCAGCAACCATTATTCTTAGCAATTATTTATAGATCAGCTGAACCTTGTCTGTTTTATTTACAAAAAAGCACTGCTAGCAGCACCCACAGTGGTTTAAAAAAAAAGTTTGTCTGCAGAAGCAGCAACTTTACGAGCGTCTCTGACACGTAAACACAAAGAAGGGCAGCTCATGACATGCTCATTAGTGTACATTTGCCAACATGTTAACTGCAACTGTTAGACAATTGTCTCACTCTGTAGTGCTACATTCACCTTATGAAAACAAGTTCTTAAGAAACTGGAAAACATCTGAATAGTCTGAAAGCCACTCTTTCCCATGCGTACTATTTTGAAGTAATACATAGCTTTACCATTCATGTTTTATCAACTGGATTTCTATTGAGAAAAAGGTTGCTAGCAAGTTTTTCCCAGATAAATAATGCCATCCTGTAAGAGTCAATGGCAAATTTTCACTGATGCAGACCACCCATTGCAACCTGGCCCTTTGCTGCAGGCCTCAAGTGTCACCCCCCAACCCTCAAAAGTGGCCCGCTGCCTGCACTTAATCTTGCTGCCAATCCTCAGCCCTTCTGCAGCAAAGGTAATCACACATACAGCAGAGCAACAAGCTCTGCAGCAGAGGGGATGGGCAGCATCCGTGCCACAGATTCCCTAAACCAGATCAAATCATTGCCAGCTGCATCTGGCCAGGAGATGACAAGTTGCCAACCCCTGGCTTAGGTTTAAGGATTAGCTGTGTCAATTCTCATGTTTCCAAAAACAATAAATACCTACTTTCAGTAACTGTGTACTGCATGCACTTCTTGTCTTCTAGAGGGTCACTTATAGCTGCATGCCTTCAAGCTGTAAAAATGTACTTGTGGTAGCTTCCCAAGACACCCAACACAAAAGCTTCAATCACATTCATGTGCAAGGATAACATTTAATTTTAATCACAAGATGCCACAATCCTTGGGTTCTACAGACCCGATTCATTTCTATCTCTGAAGGAAGATAAAGGAAGTAAAATTTAAGTTCAATTAGCAGAAAGTATAATTCTATCTACACTTTTCAGAGTCAGCTTTGATGTTCATTGAACAAATACTTAAGAGTATTAACTCTTACCATATTTTAGTGAAGCTCCATAACTATGATGAAGTTTTATAAAGAAAACTAGGGGTTCATTTTGATTGAGAATCATTACAACGTATCAACAAGCAACTTACCCAGTAGATGGGCAAAGGGTAAAATTACAGCATATGCTAGCAAAAAAAGTCCATTTCTTGACCAAACATCAAAATGGCATGCTTGGAACTAAACCTCCACACTCCTAGGAATACAAGACCCCATAGGAGGTTGGCTGACAAAAGAAGAAACATCTTTTTCCACAGTTGTGTTTATTAAAAATTGACATTGTAAACAAAAGCTGTACAAAAAAAACCTTTCTTTAGAACAGGCCCTGTTACCACATCCCAAACGATTCTGGAATTTATCGCCTGGGACCGCCTCTTCCTCTGCCACGGCCTCGGCCTCTACCCCGACCTCTGCCACGGCCTCTTCCTGCAACTGACCAAACCAAACAAAGAACAAGTTAAAGTCTATTTAGGTATAAAACTTATCCTGAAATAAAGGGTAAAATGCAAACAGCATTGTGCTCTATCGTACAAAATTTGCAGCTTGATATAATGCTACCAAAACTCAAACTTAACTTTTGTCCAAAGTGTAAATTCACTCTCAACTCCAGTTTTGCTTCAGATAATTATGGAATTACATTCCTTTGACAACTGTTTCTAAATGCCATGAATGCTTTATTCATAGTTTCATAGATTTAGGGTCGGAAGGGACCTAGTAGATCTTCTAGCCCGACCCCCCGCCAGGGCGGGAGAACAACAAAACCCCAAAACAAGAAAAGGGACTCATTTGAGTCCAGCCAGGTAGGCATCCAGCCTCTTCTTAAAGACCCAAAATTTACTTTCGTACGTTCGGGCTGGCTGGCAGGGACCTCGGAAGAGGATCGCGTCCAGCCCCCCACCCAAAGGGCAGGGGGTCAGCTGGGGCCATAGGAGCCCAGCAAGGTAAGCAGCCCGTTTGCTCTGCTGTGCTCTGCTCTGCTCTGCTCCCCCCATTGCAGCTTCGGTCGTCGACGACGACGCTCGACAAAGGCAGAGTCTGGCCTTAAGCGGCCTTGCTGGCCACACAGGGGGCAGGGCAAAAGGCCACAGGGCCTGCAGAGCCAACAAGTCTGTTTTTCTCCCTTTGGATAAAATGCAATTACACAGAAACTGGAATTTACATGTGCAAGATATGGGATCATTAAAGACTTCTCATGCTGCTTATTACAATTAAACATATTACCTAGGGTAAAAAGATCTTTTATTACAAATTAGTAAGTAAGTAGTCAAAGCTACATAATGCAATTTAAATGCCAAGCCAAGTTCTTAGAAGTGGCCATCTCCCATTTAGGCACCTGTATAAAGTGGCCATGTTTTCTGAAGCTCTCAGCACCCAAAAGGCAAGAAAAACCCTAATACACAACCATAACATTTATTTACTATGAAGAAGTGTCATCTTTCTCCCAAGATCACTCCAAGAGTAAGCAAGCTACTGATGAAGCTACGCTGGAGTCCGTGCAGTTTTTCAAAAGGAACCGTCCCATAAAATCTTGCCTCTTCATGTAATAGGATTTAGAACCGTTTTGCACATATGCAACACAACACTTCTGTTATATTGTGCCATGGCATTCTAGCCACAGATAGGGTCCAGTTTTGCGGAAAGGGGACTGGGTATTTAATCCTTTGACAGGGATGTTCTAATTATGGCACATAACATGGTTAATTATGGACTGAGAAACTAAATACTGTCAAGATTTGAAAAAATGGCTTAGCTTTGTAAAAAACATCAGCAAGGAACATTATTAATGGAGGATTAGCAAACTGAAATGTCCTAGTTACATTTTAGGATCATTCGTGCTGGGATTTCTAATTAACTTAGTTGGCTATTGACCATAACATTCCTTGTTTTTATGGAACTCATATGGAGAACTGAAAAAACCTGTATACACCACAGCCTAAAATATTTTGGCATGCAATAGTGCTTTTCCATTCTCTCCTCAACCAAAAGTCTTTGACAAAGCAAACAGAAGGAAATGAAGGATTGCACAGCAGGTAACTAAACCTGGCACAAACATGCAGCATGACATATATATGTGACCCATGTCTTCTACTTTTTGGTGGATTAACTCAATGCCCATGCAGAAGCAGCTAAAATGAACACATGAAAATATTTAATATTTGTTATTGTTATTGTAGTGACTGGATGTGCCCAAAAGATTTGAATGTTTTGCTCTAACAAGTAGTGAGGAACTCTATACATTAAGGTCCCAACAACTTGAAATGGACTGCAAGGGTAAATACCTTGAAAATACTGAAAGCTCAAAACATGCTTCTCTGAAATTCCTCTGTATAAATTCCTCTGAAATTTCCTCTTAGTCTGTTTTCCTCTTATACAAACAGGTATGATTCTAAGAAAATCTACTTTTCTCTCCAGTTGTGTTTTGAGAGCCCTCTAAACTGTATTTGCTTCACCAATTCCTCTGTGTAATTAGTTTTCCATTGTGTGGAACAAGAAAAGCATTGAAAATTAGCAAACAGACTTGGAAACAATAGAATTACTGTAAAATTACTTCTACTCAACTTCTACAATGATTTACATTTCCATGAAAAGGTACTATTTTGTACCTGGACTTGATTTATAAATCACACCCTCTTTACACTAACCTCAATCATTTTCAGGAGAGAGAGTTCATCTTTATACACAGGAAGAAAATGTAACCAATTTCTTGCATTGTAGATTTCACACACAGGTTTAAGAAATCTCTCAGACTCTTTCTAACTCACTCTAGGATCACTAGATTGCTTAGAGCAGTGGTGCTCAAACCTTTTTCCTAGTGGGCTGGATGGGCAGCACCTAGACTGACTGCAGGCTGGATAGTGGCTCTGATCCAGTGCCTGTGGTCAGTGTGGTTGCCACCATCTGGCTGCACAGTAGAGGGGGGAGGGGTGTAGCCCAGGCTGAGGCCCGACCCACAGAGGGGGAAAAAGGGCTTCATCCAGCCACAGTCGCTGGACTAGGAAGGGGGTGTGGACTGACTTTGGGTTTGGGAATTTGGGGTGGGGGGGAAAGGAGGCCACACTAATGGCCACTGATCCCCTGCCACCAAATTTCCCGAAATTTGGTGGCAGGGGACCAGTGGCCATTAGTGTGCAGAGCCCCGTGGGCCAGATGCAGTGACTCTTCAGGTGGCATTTGGCCTACAGGCTGGAGTTTGAGCACCCCTAACTTAGAGCAGATAAGGGAGTGGCAAGATGTTGCATGAAGCCTGACCTAAGTTTCCTAGACAGACTGGAACTACCCTACAACCACCTTACTCATATTAATGGCAGACCCCATATCCAAACAACTGAGTTATGAACTTTACCCAATGGATACTACATGTCACATTCACTGAACCAGCCTAAGGTGTTATTTACTATGAAGGAGAGAGATGACTACTGCTGTAGAGAAATGGAAATAGAAACAGTACGGGATATTATGACTTACAAAGTCTCAAACTAACTATTAGACTATGCGTATCCCTGCCTGTTCCCAAGTTTTGCTGGTTGTAACAAGTTTTTTATGAATGTGGGGCTTAACTAGCTTTAATTTACTTATAAATATTTATTTAAAACTAATTTAATTAATTGACCTTTAATTTAGTTTTCAATTAATTTTAACTATTTACAACTTTAGTGCCGTCTTACAATTTTTTGCTTAAAAATACTAAAATGAAAAAAGCAAGAACCACATTCTGCAAAAACAAGAGGTTGGTAGATAGGCACTGAAGCTTGAAGCCCATTTGCTTAAATACAACTTGGCTTCTTACAAAAGTCAGAATCTTAGAGACACGAAAGCAGGGGTGCCAAACACACGCCCTTCTATCTAGTACTGGCCCTGGGCTTATCAGACCCACATGGGGCATGGTGCATGCCCCTGGTGTGAGGCTGCTCCACGAGCCAAATCTGGCCCATGGACCCTCTCCTACTCCACCAGTATACCAGATGCACCAGCCAGTCTGGGATCCGTGCTACATGCAATGCAGATCCTGGAGCAGCCTGAACAGATGTCACAGTCCAGCCAGGATGGAAGTTATGCTGCACACAGTGGCCATTACAGCTGGACTGCGCTGCCTACTCTGGGTCACACACCACATACTGTCTCTGTTCCACTGGACTGGCTAAAGCACATGCCTACAGTGCAGCTCCCAAAAAGACTGGAACAGTTGCCAAATCAGCTTTGCCGAGGAGAATGGGGACCTATGGGGCCAGCAGAGTTTGACACCCGTACTGTACAGCATCCAAAGATTTGCTTTTATCCTCTAAGAAAGGACTCTTCTGTTATCTGATTAACATCACTTAAAAGGCTCCTAGAAAACTTTTCAAAAGTAAATAACCAGCTAATTTTAAATCTTCTCTTGGAATTTTCTAGTTTAATATTTTTCAAACTTCTGTAATAGGAGACCACATATACAAAATCGCAGAGGGAAAAGGTCTTATGAAATTTAAGAGAAAAGTTTTATTAGCAGAATATGAATCATCTACAAATACTTACTTTTGAGTACTATTATGTATCTGAAATATGTGTTCTCAAAGAATCCTGCAGAAAAAGCCAACATCAGGCTCCCATATGTGGAAGTGAAAATATTCTAGCCACGTTTTCTAAAATTATTGCCAATTCAGCTCAAGAACTCAAATATTCTGGAAAAAAAAATCCTTATAATATGTAATGAAAAGAAATGGGTATGTAGCCACAAACCAACCTGCTTCTCTTTTTTTGGATTTGACTTTTGGCTCAACATCTACTAGCAAGGTGTCCAGAGGTAAGCTGTCTGGCAGAATGAAGTATCGAATATTATTTCCTCGAATACTCAATGTCTCCAACTGTACAGGCTCTCTGTTCTTCAGTGTCATTTTCACAGCTTTAAGATGTGTATTCATACTGACATCCACTCCTGAAACAAACCAACAACAACAAAAAAACTTTTTAGGAAAGAAGAATCCTAGTCCAAAGCCATGGCTGGGATGATCTAGTTGGGAACGGTCCTGCTTTGAGCAGGGGGCAGGACTAGATGTGACCTCATGAGGTCGCTTCCAACCCTCGTTTTCCATGATTCTATATGCACCTAGAAGTCAGTTACTTTTAGCATGCTGGACAATTCCAATTGTATTAAAACAGCATTGTTATGTTATCAATTAAGTAAAAAAATGAGGAAAATGCTTACTTATCATCTATGCTGGACAAAACCATTCACCATCATCATTTGCTGTCCTCACATTATTCACTTGGCTTCTGCCCCAGTACCTCTTTCCCCCCGCAGTCTGGGTCTGCCTCGCCTATTTAAACTGCAGGTTATTTGAAGCAGAACATTCTGTATTTGTACGGTACCTAAGCCAAAGAGGTCACGCATCTTTGAATGTCCCTTGATAAATGTAGTTAATAAAATTTGCCAAACGCCACACTGACTAGCAACTAGGGACTGACTAGCAGAATGATCAAATTTAAGGATATCAGTATGTGCAAGTACTGTGACTCACTACTGTGAAGGTAACAGGTATGGCACCTGTTTACCCAAACAGCTACCTTAACTACACAATCATCTCCACTCTTCCTGGAGTCCCCTATCTCACTCAACACATCTCACTAGCGGCATAAATTTAATTTATTCCTTAAGCACTGCTCATCCTATCACTGGATCCAGGCAGTAGCTTGCAGGGAGAATACCCCAATCATGTAAGTGCTATGATAAGGAGACAAAACTAATGGACAACCTTAATTCTGGGATTTCCTATATATACAATTGTATACTCTTTCCTATATTATATATTTTTACATAAAAGCAAATCTAATATTTGTTCTTCAAACAACCCCTCTCCCCTCATCATTAAAAATGCAAGAATCCTGAACCTCCAGCACAGGTCTTTCACATTTGATGCAAAAAAACGATTACTCAGCTCACAGCAACAGAAAGTTGCTTTCTTCTGTGGCCCAGCCATTAAAGGACAACCCAACAGACTGAAACACCAGCTACATCTCCAGGAGCTTCAACCACAAAGAGATGATGTGTTCCATACAGTAGTCATTTAAGAAAACCGTGTTACAGTCCACATTTGTACACCCTCTCAGCATGGCATAAAAATCTCTCTTAATAATATAAGATTGTGAAAAAAACAGGATTACAGTGAAGAGGGATATAGACAAACAAAAATTTTAGCCCCTCTAAAAGTGGAAGGGGAGCTAGTCCTGGGGAGTGTGCTACTACTGTTAAGATGCAACTATTACAGCTGTGAATGCTTGTGGCAATACAAAAGTTAACCTTTAAACCTGGAAGCATTGATAAAGTTGGAAATACTTTTATAGTGATACAAGTGTAGCAAAACAGCTCAGGTTTTAGAGCTCCCTGGAAATCTGTACTGGTTTAACTAAGGTTTTGCTACTTAAAAAGTCTTGCCACTTAGCTATGCTTACAAAGTAAGAGAGGCAAAAACCCATGCAGCAGGTGCCCATACCTGCATCAAAATTTGTGTGTGGCTACAGTTTATTCATTTGGCAAAGTAAAATAAATTATAAATGTAAAAATGTATCATGCAGGCATAACTATATGCACACAAACACTTCTACTGACAGAATTATGAGGTGGAAGAGTTGGGGGATGACTCTCTCCCCTTAGCATTCTCACTATGTTGGTGAGACTTTAAGTGGAGGACAAGTTTAAATCAATTTTGTAAACACACCTTTAGTTAATCCAGTGCAAGTCTGTGTATAGACAAGACCCAAGAGGGATATTGCCACAGCCACTTGTGTGTTGAGACCTGGTTCTTATGATCAACCCACTGGCTCCCAGCATCTCCCGAAACAACTCATTAAAAAGTTAAACGATATTACAAAATAATATTCTTCCTTCTTGATATATTACCATGACTATCTATGATCTGTAAACCAGAGTCTTCAAAGCATTTTCATGGGAGTCTACAGGAACAGCTGGCAGGTCAGTGCTAGCTTAGCTCTGCTTCCATGGCCCTTGTGGCTTCTATAGGCAGCCAGGCTCTTGCAAGAGCCCCTTCCCTTATAAAGAAGAGCCCAGCTACCTGTAAAGCCAGACAGAGTCGTGGCCTGCAAGCATCAGTTTCCAGCAAGAGGAGTATGTTATGTTAACAGACACACTGGAAAGCAAATGATGTAGACGAGCAGCATAATCAGAGCCGACAGCACTAAGGGCCACCAGGCACACATGAGAGCAAAAGGTCAGAGGGAGACACAGAACATAACAGAACTGACTGGTAAGGATTTTTTCAATGATTTATTCTTCCCATAAAGAAGATACTTATTATTCTAAATAGCAACCAAAAAACTGCAAGTATCTGCTACTCTGGCATTTAGCAACAGCTGCTTATTGTAAAGGAGACCAGAGAGGGTCCAGATGACCACTATGGGCAGCCCTAACAATCTGTATTCAGGTGAGATCTAGATTATTAGAGGTCCAAAACATCCATTCATTGTCTTCTGGACCAACTGCTAACCTTACATCAAACATCTTTATTACCTGAACACCCACCACCGATAGACAAATAAAGAAGAATGTGAACTGACATTCTTTATCCTAGTCCTTGGGGGGGCAATCGCAGGAAGTTGGCCACCAGACATTTCACAAGAGATGTCCCCTGAAAAGTCATTATTTAGGGATGGCGGTGGAGTTGCTCAGGAAGACAGAGGCGGTTTTCCAGCCATGCCTTAGCAGCAGCTGCAGCCTCCTACCTGTGATGGTGCCATGCACCTGCGTGCCATTCTTCAGCTCAATGGTGACTGTCTCGTGGCTCAGCTTCATCAGAAACCTGCGGAACGAACCACAGTTAAAAACACTCATCTTCTGTGCCTGACACACAGTTAAAAACACATCCTAACGATGGAACATGGCAAGGCCGTGATGAGCACACGTTAACGATGCTAGGGGTCTTCACAGTAGCACCCAATAATGTAGGAATCCATCAGAGACCTGCAGCCCCTTTCCAGGGAGTTCTGCGCAGGTATGACAGAGGCAGGGATGGACACCCCGACTCCCCCTGCCTGAGTTCGGCAACCCTGCTGCGGCAGGGGACACGCGTGCATGCGCCCCCCCGCCGCACACACGGGCTAGCGCCGCGGTCGCTCCCAACGTTCGGTCCACGGGACCCCCCCTGGACCGAACGTTGGGAGCGACGACCGCAGGGCCGTGTGCGCATGCGCGATGTTCGCGTATGGCGGGGCTCCAAAGCCCCTCGCAGGCGTCCCGGCACAGTGTGACCCGGGCAGGTGAAGGGGAGGAAAGGAGCAGAGAAGGAGCGCGAAGCCCCGTGAGGGGCAGCGGGGGTTGGGGGTGCGAGGCAGGAGACGGGAAAGGCTCAGGCCTGGCGCGCGCCACTCCCCGCCGCCGGGGCCTGCTCCTAAATCCGGCTCCATCCGTGCCCTCCTCACCTCACGAGCTTCATGGCGGCAGCCGGGACCGCGGGACGGCCTCCCCAAGCGCGGGGGAAGCAAACGGCCGGAGAAAAAAGATAAAAAAAATTGAGCCCGGTGCGGAGGCCTCAGACCAGGCCGCGCCAGGAGCTCGCGCCAAGGAAGCGGCAAAAGCTACTAACGAATGAATGGGCGGAAGCGGCGCCGAAAGTACGTGGAGACGCGCGGCCGCCACCTGCTGGCTAGGGGGAGGCCAAGCAACGCTGGCAAGCGGTGCGCGTGCGCAGTGGGCTCCTGGGCGGAGCGGGAGCCAGCGGACACTGGATTGGCTCGGCCCCCAAGTGGCGGGCTCCAGTCACGTGCCCCAGCTGGAATCCAGGGGGGAGGTGAGCCGGCCTCATTGGCTGCTTGCTCTTCTCTGCTCAACTGGGGGGTGGGGAGCAGCGGGTCCCAGCGCAGGGGGCAGAACAGGCATGAATGGGAGTTGTGGGAGAAACCCGGAGGTTTCCAAGTGGAAGCCGCACTGCCGAACGCTGCTGCAGCCAAAGACTTTGTCTTACAAAAAAACATTTAAAACAATGGAAAAAAAACTTAAGAGCGGGGAGGGCAGCCCTCCTTGTTTTAAACGTTGTCCCCGTCCTGTTTTCATTTAATTGGTGGAAGTATATGTCATTCACTTGTCCTTGTGATTCTGTTCGCTGTGCCTAAAGCCGGGTCAGTGCACAGGGAGGAAAAGCTCCCAGGGAGGAGGGATATGGCTTTCTTATGGTGGCTCCACCCTTTGTCACCGATTGGCCAAAGGGTCCTATGGTTCCAGCCCTTGCTGCCAATTGGTCATGGAGACATACCCCTCGTGGCTGATTGGCTGATGCAGCCACCTCTCAGCAAGGGAATGCCCTGTATTCTGGGAATGTGTCAGGGGTCCCCTAGCTGGGGGGCTCCTCAAGTCTAGCACAGTTGGCTGTGGGTCCAGTGCTGGGAAGCGAGGCAGCTAGAATTTCATTTGCTTCCTTGTGTGCGATATCTCCCTTGTGCAGACCTTTCCTTGGCATTCTTAACCAATCCAGAAAAAATAAAATTGGGGTTTTCTTTTGGGGAGAAAGGGACAAGAGCCTGACAGCAGGTAACAAGAGTTGTCGGGGAAACAAAAATTGTGGAAATAAATTTCCTCTCTTCAGTCAAGCTGTCACAGGTCAGATACTAACTGCTGGTTTTCAATAAGAAGGGGTGGTTGCACCCCTTCAAAACCACTACACCTCCTCATGTTTTATATTTAATGTGTCAGATGCTGTAGTTCTCCCCGCACCCCTCATGCTCCAGTTCTCTGACCCCACCTATCTCCTACAGATGGTCAGAAACATCTACAGAAACTCTGAAATAAAATTTGAAATGTTGCAGGAGTGAGTGGTTTGATACAGGACATATGAGTAGTCACTTTCTTGGTCCTGTTTTTGGTTAAAAAGAGGATATAAAGCAAAAAAAAAGTAGAAGGAGCCAACCATAGTACTAGTCTTCATACCTCACACTTCTGTAGGCAATATAGAACAAGCTTAAGGGGAGGGAATTATTATAACCAACTCATTTCTAGGCTTGCTTCCAAAAAGGAGAGAGAATTGTTATGCTAATTTTCACATACTAATCATCCATTAAAATTAAGTGCAAAATAGTAGGACCTTGTATTTTTTTCCCCTTATTAGTCCTTTCTCCATTGTTTTTGACTGCTGCTTGCCAATAAGGAACAATTAAAAATGTTTACCTCTAAGGGAATACAGAACAAAAAAGGTCTAGAAAAGATTGAAATTTTATTGTAATTTATGGAGTACACCATATGTGAATTTAGAAATACACACTTTGCAAAGTACTGAAGGAGAGACACCCTTCCAACTCTCAAAACATACATCAGGTCTTGCTACATAAGTACATTAACCATTCAAGTTTGGTCTTTGTTGCAAACTCTTAAACAGAGCATGCACAGAAGATTTGCTTGAGCCATGTTTCAAAATGCCCCACTAGTGAGACCTTCCAATCATTATCTTAAGCTATGGTGCACACTTATCTATTATGCAGTTGTGTCTGAGATTAAGTTAGAGAAATTTCCAGTTCAACCATCAACTGATATTTCCATTATAGTATCTAAAAAGCTAGACAGGTATTTTGCTTTTTCATTACTAGTGTAGGTAATGTACAGATAACAGGTAATGTTTAAAAACAAAACCCAGAGAGGCCTTCAGAAACATTTGAGGTTAAAATGAACAATTACCATTGCAAAAAAACTGTACATATTTTCAATCATAACACAATGATACACTGCAGCATCAGTTTTGTGTACTAGTTTCAACAGTGACAGTTGTGCTAACCCTAGTTTTTCTTCTAATATTTAAACTTCATAATTGCAATCTGAATATACAGCTGTACTTACAAGAAATATTAAACAATGCACAGCGTCTTAAGCAAGTTTTCATGTCTGGTTTTCCTGAAACCATATAAAATAAAATGGCAAAATTTTAAAATTGGTCCTTGATTAGGATTATCTTTTTTTTAAATACAGCTTGGAAGCATTAAGTTTAAGACACACATTTATTGATAACCAATACAAGTTATTTTTGTAGCTTAGTAATTTGTTTGTTTTTTTTTAAGAAGTGTTACAACATCATGCATGAAAAGCAAGTTGCTTTTGCTCCCAAGTGCAAAAAAAATGGAATTTAAAGAGAAGTCCATCTCCCCAGAGTTTTCTTCCACAGGTTACCCCAAAATGTATAGAAGCAGTGACTAACAAAAAACAAATGTGGAGTGCATCTTCTCTATGGTGACTGTTCTTAAAATACAGTAGTACTTTGGACCTTTAGCATAAAAGGGTTCAATAAACACAGTAGAAGGAGTTTTACATTCTTAGGTTTCATTTATATCTTGAGACAACTTGTATTTGAATTTGAATCATGCTTAAGCTGTCAAACTGTAATACAGTATTGTCTGAAGACTGCAATATTTAGGCAGTGCCGACATTTGCTGCTTCAGAAATGTCTAATCACAGTCTCATTCTTCCCTCCCTAACAATGATTTAATTGAATATTGCATCAAAAGACAACACGTATTTTAAACAAAGCATTAATACACATTTTTTTTTATGTTTGGAGCAAACAGAGTGGTATGTATACAAATAGGACTCTTGCTCACATCAACTATTATGACAAATGAAATTCAACTGTAAGATCTAGAAAGCAAACTCCACTTTCCTGTTCTTACAGTGAAGTTATATTAGCTCAGAACATGATTTGAGTCTATATTAACACTCCAACATCTGGGTATGTTGACACATGAGCAGCACCGCAGACCTCTCCCATCAAAATCACATAGCTTGGCTGGAACTACCCTGCTCACCTGTCAGCTGAGTAGGCCTATTTATACACCAAAACACACCTAACACCAGCATCATTGTGACTTCCACATGAGACTTACTTTGTTATGGAGGGCAACCTTCACAACTAATGCAATATTCCAAAGATCATTGTGACAAACTGAAATCAGATCTCAACTGTAAGGTACCACCACCAAACCGATAATTTAGTTATCTCCCAGCAAAGAAGAAAGTTAAAAAGACCACTACTTGGTGTGGAAAGCAGGTCAGTAGAGACTCCAAGTGTGGCTTGAGGAGTCCTCCATGCCAAGCCGCTTTCCACACACACAAATTCAGTCCATCTTTTCCTTCTGAACTAGTTTTGGTGCATCTACAAAATCCTTGCCATTGTAAAGAATGATAGCAAAAGTTCCAAAACTTGCACTTCCCCAGAAGAGCACGTAGGCCAGGGTCTCAGTCCAGGTGTCACCTGTTAAATCAAACAAACACAAGTGATTTTTTCCCCCCACTCAGTAATTGGAATTATATTTAGTCAGACAGCAGAATATGAATCAACACACTCAGCAGAAAGCTTTGATTACCCAGAATCAAAGTTTCAGATCAGCTTTCCACTTCCTAAAGGAAAATTTCTTCCCCATACCACTTATTGCTGATTTCCTTACAAGTAGCTGACAGATTTTAAAATAATTTTGTTGGTGTAAAAAGCTAATGTTCTGTTGTTAAGTAAAGGCAAAATGTTCACTTACAGTAACTCAGAGTGCTCATTTATACAGCTCTGCAGAGAATTCCCAAGTTTAAAGACTGATTTACAATCTACATAGCAAATACTTCACCTGCCAGCAAAATGGTGACAGCCTATCAGCAAAATGAGGCACAATTGGATCTGTTTAAAGAGCACAATACTACAGTGTTTGGGGACATTAAGTGGCCACCTAATACAAACAGAAGCAGCCCATATTTGGTGTAGCTACTAGGGTTAGTAATCCTGTTCCAATGATAAATATTACAGGATTAAAAATTAAGTCCTTTAGGGCCATGGATAATGCCCCATTCAAGTCACCATCATAAAATCAAGAAAACAGAATGGAGTCATCACACCATATTATAATAAACAATCAGATGCCTTCCTTCTGCTGTTTCCTCCATGAAAACACCTGGACCTTCTCCACCCAAGGGAACAGAACTGACTTTGTACCATTTTAGAAGTATATTTTCAAATCTGGAGCTATGACTTGAACAACCACTTCGTGTAAACTGAGAAACAAGCGTGTATCTACTGAACAACTTTTTAAACAGTTAATTGCACTGAACTATGTAAAAAAAGGACCAGAGCACAACTTACCAGCCATCAGCAAACAGATGATGCACATTGAGAAAGCAACCACCATAATAATAGGCAACTGAAGAGAAAAGAAAAGGAAAAAACCCATTAAGTTAGCCAGTTTCCTTCCTTTTGAAGAATCCTTCAAAGATTTTTAAAATTACCCTTGTAGTTGGTCTGAATTTCAAAGGCAGTCTAAATTATGCTTCAAAGGCCACTGCATTTGTCCCAAGACAAACTGCCTACATTTGTCCTGGAACAGAAGGGTCCCAAGATCGGCATGAATACATATCACCCTTCCAATCTGCGTTTAGGGAGTGGCTGAATGAACTGCTCCTTTTCTGCCTCTGATTCAGTTATACAATCCTGGGATAACCAAACATTCAAACACACTTCACAATGTCCCAGAACAAACTGTTAACACTTCTTACCCCATTAAACCTTTTTAGGTTTTGTCCTGGGACTGATATGCAGGTCTGAACAACTGTGCTTTGTCCCATGATAAAATGGTTTGTCAGGGAATCCAAAGACAAGTATGCCCAAATGGCACGCTGCAGCAAAGGAGCCTACTGCCAGGAAGGCAAGGGTAAGTCAGGGCACCTGGGAGTGTGTGCAACAGAAAGATTTGGAAAATATGATGTAGTGGGGCAGCAGGAAGTGCTAAGATTCCTCTGGCCCCCACTGGTGTGGCCTCTGCTAGGGTCCCCAAATACTTGAAAGTTGGGCAGCCCCAGTTTAGAGGATGCTTAAGCCTTTCAGACCTCATCTCCTTGGTAAGTAGAAGGGACTGAGAACAGACCTAGGTACACCTAGCCAAATGGCCTCTCTGTCCTCCAGCAGCTTTGCCAGAGCTGATGACCAACACCACAGATGACCAACACCAGACCTGTCCAACTGGGGGCCCATAGGCTAGCAAGGGGCTAAGTTGCTGCCCCCAGGCTCCTGCCCAAGCACCATTCTCTGCTATTGCTCTGGCAGCAACAGCAGCTGGGGGCTGCAAGCTCTTCCTCCCTCCCACAATTTCCCCTTCCTTCCCCACAGGGCAGGGCAATATGGCAGCAGCAAAGGGGGAAGTGCCTGAGCAGTACAGCAGCAGCAGCAGGGGAGGTACCTACACAGGCATGCAGTGCCATGGTGGGAAGCCTACATAGTGCTCAGCCCTGGGGCCAGTGGCACACCTTGGTGCAGCCCTCCCCAGTGTGGCTCATACGGCTTATAGCCTCTAGTTGCTTAGAAGTTCAACAGCCCTGACCCAAGCTCAATTCCCCTACAAGCAGAAAAAAAATGTTCAATAAAGCAAATGAAAGAAAGGACACTGGGTACTTTCATGTGTGCTCCAGGGGTGGTGGGAGGGGACAGCACTTTAATTGTCTGGCTTCGACAGCTACTCTAAAGTGCTGCTGTGTCTCGTATATCAGCATCCCTGTGCTTAAAATGGCAGCGGGGGCACTTGAACGAAAGCTTATCTGAACTTTAGCTCAAGCACCCCTGCCATTTTTTCAGCATGGGGATGCTGATACATGAGACACAGGAAGCTGCTGGAGCGAGGCAATTGCCACACTCGATTAATTGAGTCTGTTCTGACACAGTCACTGTTCCAGTGCACAGCAGCAGCCTCTGTACTCGTGTATAGGCACCCATGGTTTCCAAAATGTGAACCAAATACATTAAATACTCACAGCTAAAAATTTCCAGTCCTTCTTGATATGTAGAGGGCTGGAAGGTTCTATTTCATCCACTGAATAATTTCCAAGAAAGAGATCTATAGCATCCTGGAACAGAAACATATACACTAAGGATATAGAACAATAGTTACTAACCACCTTTTGCAAAAATAAAAACAAAAAACCTACTTACTTGTCTAAATCCATCAGAAAAGTTATTCTTATAGTAACGTATTAACGAGTTCCAGCCATCCATTATTAGGCCCCACTGAGTTCTCTTGCCAGTTCTATAAAGGGGGTGGGAAAAAAAAAAGGTTTGTCAACACATTAAAGATGCATTCTAAGTGAAAAGATATTAAAGATATTGAAGTTTGAGCTTAAGATTCTCCCTGATCCAGGCATTTACTTTTATAGTATAAATACAAACTTGATATGGCTAAGAGGATGATGCTACCATTTGGTGCTGCCTCAACACATTTCAGCTAATGGCATTAGATTTTCAAATCGGATATAATTAAAGCAAAGAGGGTCAAATGATTCGACTAGAAAACTGAATAAGAATGTCCTATTTTATTGCATGGTAGAAAATATTCTATGTTAAATTAATTGCATCTCTTTTTTTTTTTTGTTTTTGTTTCATAGTTTCTA